CAACTGGAAGCAGAGAATCGGGAAAGGACCAAGCCAACTCCAACAAATCTGAACTGTAAGTGCTAATCCTTTTCGCCCCTCCTAAACCCTCTGTTTAAGGATTTTTGGTTAGGGATAATTTTCGTTTCTGCGTATTGATTACGCAACCATTTTTGAAACTCCCTGAATAGGAATTTTGAAAATTAAAATTATCATTCAAGTCCAGTACATTGAGTACACTAATTTTAAGCAAAAATTGCATCAATTTTTTTTTCTCTCTATTTTCTGCGTATGAATAACGTACAAGATTTATTAGAGAGCATTGCGGAAATTTCCAAACAAGTCGAAACAAATAAAATGGCAATTAATGAACCGATTGGTCAATCCAAAGTTAATTGGGATTTACTTAAGAGTAAACTTGAAAATATTAAACTCTCCGACGGGGACGTCAATACCCTCAACAAATTTGTTAAAAGATGCGACGATCTCGCAGCCAAGTATGCTTCATTTAAGGATCCTGACTTAGATCAGCATATTTTTGAATGTATCCAAGAAAAGCTAACCGAATTGTACAGGAACTGAATGGCTGACGGAGACTTTACAAAAGGCGAAAAGTTTCAGAAAATCTCGGCTCGTAGCGGAAAAAAAGTTAAATTATTTGTATAGGGGGTAACAAAATTTTTATTATTCACTGTAATTGCTGATTCCAAAATTGGTGAAATTCGACATGGGCGTTTAAAAATTATTTAAATAAAATATATTAACTTGTAAACTTTGGCGCCCTGTAGCGGTAAAATGCAGCAGCAGGTTTTCTTGCTTAGATCGTTTTATCTTAGGTTTGGCAATTTCTGGTAAAGCGTTGTATAGTAATTTCAGGAACTCCCTGTAATATCACACCGAAATCTCTTAATATTTGTGCATCAAAATGTTATGCGTTTAATTATGAATCTTACTGATATTATCATCTCGTGCTTCTACGTCAATCATTTTCACATACCAAGATCAGATCGAAAAATATCGACCTTGTTTATTGTTTAATATTAGATTGGATATGTTTGTCATTATACCGGGTGGTCAACTTCGATGGCATTTAACAACAGCGAGCAAAATTACAAAACTGATAGTTGTAGGTATATCTGCAATGAAGGAATCCATACCGTAATTAAACCTGAGTTTGTGTTTGCTAGTTTATTTGCTTCAAAGAGAAGTTATTCACGTAGCGTATGAGCTTTTTGCAATATTTCATTGACTAAACTAATTTAAGCCCGATAGTGGCGATGTTTCAAGTTGTCAATTAGCAAACAATATCGTTGTATACCATTTGAGCGACGAAATGAGTACAACTCCCATTGCTACCCAATTAGTCAAGATTTCTTAAATCATCACTCTAGATGAGCAGTTTTCAAACTTTTTTAGTGGCGAAACCCTTTTAAAGAATTACATTTTTAACGGAGCCCTAAACCCTAACTTAACTAAAAGCAAAACGAGTTATATGTGTATTGCTTATTAATAAGCTTACAAAAAAGGTCTAGTTTTTTAAAAATAGCTACGCTTCGTGAAACATCGAAAATCGACGATATCTTCTGGCACTTTGATTATTCGTGCGTTTTTTGCGGTGTTTCAGTTAATAATTAAAAAATGCCTGCATTAAAATTTCTCATAAAAAAATCAAATTAACGCTAGCGGTCCTACAGCAACCACTGTCAACTATCACCCACTAAAATTATGGAATCTGCAACGAACGGTCTCACAGAAATTATTCACCAGTTCATAACCTCACTTTCATGAAAGAGCCCGGAAATCTGCTTGATGGTCACCGGTGGTTCTGTGGGACCGCCGCCTTACGGATTACCTTTACTTTACTATTACTTCTATAGCTGAATACTTGATAAGAAAACAATAATATGTCTTCCAAAAATGCCGATAACTCATAATCGACTATAGATCAACGTAGGTACACAGTGTTAATAAAAGTCGACTTTTAATTCAATTTTACAATTATTTTTGGAGTCAGAAATAGTAGTTGCTATTTAGAAAAGTGAAGTTCTTGTCATTTTTTTACTGCGAACTTTGGAAAAAGGTAGCAGAAGCATGAAACATAACAAAAGTGTCAGAATGTATTACATACCTTTGGGAATTGAATTAAATAATGCCGATTTATTTATTTGCAATAGTTCAGGAAGTTAATGTAACGAAATTAACAAATCTATAAAAAAGAAAACAAGAGAAGATTTAAGGCAGTACAACACAAAAGTGCTAACAACGACTATCGAAAACAACAAGAACATGAAAATACTTAAAACACTTAACTAGAATAGTCGCCTCCAAATACATCAACTAAAGGACACAGACGGAAACATCAAAGAAGACAGAAAATATTGAATGGAGATCGTGGAAAATTTCTACAGCACACTATACACCGAAAATAACCCAATGAAATAAATCGAAGCTTATGAAACGATTCTCAATGTGGGCTCCGAGGACCTGCGCGACATCACCATACAAGAAGTAGAACTAGCACTGTCTCAAATGAAAAACGGTAAAGCACCAGGGAAAGATATGATTACGGCAGAAATGATAAAACTTGGTGGAAACATTACTGTAGAATCAATGAAAATTCTTCTTAATCAGTGTCTAACAGAAGGCGTAATACCCCAAACATGGCAGAATGCCCAGGTGATTTTACTGTACAAAAAGGGAGATAGGTTGAAAATCGACAACTATCGGCCTATTAGCTTACTCCCCCATCCGTACAAACTTCTGACAAAGATAGTAACACATAGACTTACAACCAGGTTAGATGCCTACCAACCCCCGGACCAAGCTGGCTTCCGTAAAGGTCAGAGCACGATAGAACACATACAATCCGTTCGCACAATAATAAAAAAATGTAACGAGTACAACGAACCACTACAGCTCGCATTTGTTGACTATAACAAAGCGTTCGACTCCGTAGAATTGTAGGCTATTTTTAAGGCATTGAACAATGCAAGAATTGACTCCCGCTATAGACAGCTTCTTAAACACAAATATGAAAATGCGACAATCGCCGTGAAGATCACGGAAGATATAGAAACGAACAAAATCCAAATAAAAAGAGGAGTCAGACAAGGGGACACCATCTCCCCAAAGCTGTTCACACTTGCACTGGAAGATGTTTTTGAAACTCTAGACTGGAATAAGAAAGGCATAAAAATTGACGGCAAAC